GACCAGGAGCACATCCAGCTCTCTTCCATCTCGGTCACCACCGTCCACCACTTGGTGATCGACGAGTTTCGCACTCAGTACCGCCACTGCCCCGACTATCACGACATCCACGCGACCCTTCGGAGTGGCAAGACCGTCCCGAACTACTCTCTCGGGGACAACGGTCTTGTGTACTGGCACGGTTCACAAGGCACCAGAGAGCCCCGTATTTGCGTTCCCTCCACTGGACAGCTACGTGTCCGAGCAGTAGCCGAGTTCCATGACCAGGCAGCTGTCGGTCATATAGGCTTCCACAAGACGTTGGCTCGTGTGAGCCGCCTGTACGTCTGGCCGAAGCGCAAGGACTTTGTGAAGAACTACGTCGCAGAGTGTCCCACCTGTCAGGAGGTGAACAGTGCGAACCACCTGCCTTATGGTTTGCTCCAGCCTCTTCCTATCCCTGAGGGTCGTTGGCAGTCCATCTCGATGGACTTTATCGGTCCTCTTCGTCCTCCGACCCCTCGCGGTCATGATGCTCTCCTGGTCGTCGTCGACCGCTTCACGAAGCGTGCACGCTTTGTTCCGTGCCGCTATGCCATCAGTGCACGTGATGTCGCCGACATCGTGTTTGACCGAGTTGTGCGTGACCACGGCTTACCTCTGAGCATCATATCTGAYCGTGACCCGCGCTTTACCAGCCGATTCTGGCGACGGCTCCATGAGGTATACGGCACTCAGCTCCGCTTCTCCTCGTCTTACCATCCTCAGACTGATGGTCAGACCGAGATCGCGAGCAGGACTCTCGGAGATATTCTTCGAAAGATTGTTCGTGATGACCAGCAGTGGGATCTTCATCTTGCCCACGCGGAGATAGCCTACAACCATGCCATCTCGCTTGCCACGGGGATGTCGCCTTACTATTGCGACCTCGTCTATCACCCTCGTGTTCCCTCGGACTTCCTTCGACCGTCCCAGCTGCACCCCGACATGAGTTGTCCCGCGCTGGACGATTGGGTTGCATACATGACGTCGATCATGAAGACCTCACATGAGCACATAGCCGCTTCCCGGACTCGCATGGCAGCACGTGCGAACCGATTGAGGATGGATCATCCATTCAAAGTCGGTGATGATGTGCTAATCGACGCCCGCCACTTACAGCTCGAAGCGAACACGCTTCGCAAGTTTCGACGTCGCTTCTTTGGCACATGCCGCATCCACCAGGCCGTCGGTTCTGATACGGCATCTACCCGGTCAGCTTCCGTGTGAAGCTGCCCGACTACCTACACCAGGCTCGTGTGCACGATGTCTACCACGTCTCGTTACTGCGTCCTTACCGCAGACCGCCTGAGCGTTTCGCCGAACGACCATACGAGCGCCCTCCACCCATCATGGTGGACGGTCACGAGGAGTTCCTCGTTTCAGACATCATTGGTCGCCGAGTCACTGACGACAACCCTCCCCACGTCGAGTATCTCGTACGTTGGAAGGGTTACCCTGATGAGGAGGCTACATGGGAGCCCCTCGAGCACTTGCAGCACGCTCGCATGTTGGTGCGTGCCTATGATCGTGCTCGTCGTGCTGGTTCATTACTCCTCCTCAGCCCACTGACCCTCCTCCTTCTCCTCCGGCTGAGGAGACTGCTGAAGTCGAGACTGCTCTATCTGAGGCAGACCTTCACCAGCAGCCGGATGCTTCTGAGCGTCCACAGCGCACTCGTCGTCGTCCTGCTCGATACGACGATTGACTCTGACTTACCTTCCCACATCTTTGACTTCTCAGTACTCCATCCACATCAGTTTTGCTACTTCAGCTCGTCGACCCTGCGGCTCTTCCTTGACGGCATTCCGGACTTCTCATCGTGGACGTCATCGGCAGCTTCATGGACTTCATCACGATCAACTCTGCCTACTTCAGACGTCGCCACTCTCTTACCACTCTACCCTGTACAGTACCCTGCTTGTGTCGCATGATGGTCTCCCTTTCGCCGGGTTCCTCTGAGTTGGGCTCTCCCTTGGTATACGCATAGACATCGGGACCGTAGCGTTGCCCTGGCTGCCCATCTTACGGATCTAGCTCCGACTTTCCTCACTTTAGGAGTCATTTGCGTGATTCCCTTACCCATCATCTTTCTACCCTTCGCCGGCCCTTATGCCCTAGTTAGGCAGCCCCGCATGCTTCATCTAGGTGCGCCCAGTATACCAGGCTCCCTTATTCCCATGGTCGACCCTCCATAGCGGTCACCCCTTAGTCGACTATTACCCGCCCTGATGGTCCATCTGTTAGGGTCATTGGTTTTGTTCGCTCTCAGTTCCCTACCCTCATTGAGCCTGATGACATGTGTCTCCCTGTCATCTATGTGTGGATGCCCTTAGGAGTTTTCGACCCCTAGGTTGCATTCGCCACCCTCAGTTTGTGACATATGATTGACTTGTTGTTGCTTTGTTGCTCTCAGACTGAGGCTACTGCCTCTGACATTTCTAGGATTTAGTTGTTCTGCTTTTGCTGTTCTTAGGACTTATACACTAGTCAGTTGTTACCAGACTGAGGCCAGGGCCTCCAACATTCTAGGATCTAGTTGTAACTACTTTCTGCTTTCCTAGGACATGTATGCTAGTTAGTTGCTTTTGGTTTCCTAGGACATGTATGTTAGTAAGTTGCTTCTGCTTTCACTTAGGCTGTTAGCTGTGACATTGCTGTTTTGGGACATTTTATATCCTAGGTTGCATCGCATGGACTCAGCATGGAGCTTGCTCCGCATCCTAGACTACTCAGGTTTTCTTTTCTTAGGTAGAGTTCCGCTTCTTGGTGGAAGCATGTTTGTATCTAGGCGATCCATCACAGGCCGAGGATCGTATAGCGGACCTCAGGTTAGCCTGTGAGACCAGCCCCTTGGCCTGTTCTCACAGGCCTGTGCTGTATTCGGGGTAGGCCAGTCCAGGCCGGTACCTCTGTCCGTACCAGCCAGTCCAGTCCAGTCCCGTCAATCCGTTGGGGTATACTGCAGTCATTGTCTGTTTTCAGTCTCATTCTTGACTTGCATATTTTAGAGTACGTGTGTTGGAGTCTTGCGTGGGGAGCTGCGTTGTGCCATCTCGCTCCCCGCTTCTTCCTCCATCTCCATCTCTACCATTAGCGGAGCACCACGGCTGGTGAGTCCGCTACAAAATCACAACAATTGAACATGAGATCATCCATAGAAGAATCGGAGCATCTCCTACTAGCATATGCGTAAAAAGCAATATCTACATTAAGCCAAATCACAAGAATTAAACATCAAATCATCCATTGAAGAATCGGAGCATCTCCCACTAGTGTGTGAGTGAAATGCAAGAGTAACACTAGGCTATATCACAAGATTTGAGCAAGGGGTCATCCATGGAAGAATCAAAGCATCTCCTACTAGCATATGAGTGAAAAGCAAGATCTACACTAGGCTATATCACAAGATTTGAGCAAGAGATCATCCATGGAAGAATCAGAGCATCTCCTACTAGCATATGAGTGAAAAGCAAGATCTACACTAGGCTATATCACAAGATTTGAGCAAGAGATCATCCATGAAAGAATCAGAGCATCTCCTACTAGTGTGTGAGTGAAATGCATGAGTTACACTAGGCTATATCTCAAGATTTGAGCAAGAGATCATCCATGGAAGAATCGGAGCATCTCGTACTTGCATATGAGTGAAAAGCAAGATCTACACTAAGACCAAATCACAAGAATTAAACATGAGCTCATCCATAGAAGAATCGGAGCATCTCCTACTAATATATGAGTAAAAAAGCAAGATTTACAATAAGACCAATCACAAGAATTGAACATGAGATGATTCATAGAAGAATCACGGCATCTCCTACTAGTATGTAAGTGAAAAGCTAGGAAGCATGGGTTATCTGGCCGGCTAATCTGGTCGGATTATTTGGCCGGATGATCGGGGGGTAGGATCATCTCGAAATCCGGATGATTAAAAAAAAGGCCAAAGAAAAACGGAAAAAAAGAAAAAAAAAATTAAAAAAAAAAATTGATATGGCGTATGCAAAATACAATAGAACTTCGTTCCTATTTCATGAAAGGTTTGATATGGTATGTACGGGTTCAAAGGGGATAAGATAGGGAATCAACGGATTTAGAGGGGGGGATGCTTAATTCATTCGATTGATTTTTATCCAAATATTATTTTCTTGTGCTGTTTTATTTTTTATCTTCATATCTGTTGAGTAATGAAAGATGGCCTCATCCCAAAAGTTGTTCATATCATTCATATGAACAACATAATTGTTTTCCAGATTTTTTTGACTTTTTTTTTCACGGTAAAAGTTTTTTTTTTTTGCACAAGACCTGATTTTTCATATACGAAATTAATCCGAAAATTTCATCCGGATTGAAAATTCCGGATAAAATTGGTATGCCGGATATCCGGATTTGCTACTTAGGTGAAAAGCAAGATCTACACTAGGCTATATCACAAGATTTCAGCAAGAGATCATCCATGGAAGAATCGGAGCATCTGCTACTAGCGTATGAGTGAAAAGCAAGATCTACACTACACCAAATCACAAGAATTGAACATAAGATCATCCATAGAAGAATCAGAGCATCTCCTACTACTGTGTGAGTGAAATGCAAGACTTAGATTAGGCTATATCACAAGATTTGAGCAAGGGATCATCCATGGAAGAATCAAAGCATGTCCTACTAGCACATGAGTGAAAAGCAAGATCTACACTTAGACCAAATCCCAAGAATTGAACATGAGATCATCCATGAAAGAATCAGAGCATCTCCTAGCACCATATGAGTGAAAAGCAAGATCTACACCAGACCAAATCACAAAAATTGAATATGAGATCATCCATGAAAGAATCGGAGCATCTCCTACTAGTGTGTGAGTGAAATGCAAGAGTTACACTAGGCTATATCACAAGATTTGAGCATGAGATCATCCATGAAAGAATCGGAGCATCACCTACTAGTATGTGAGTGAAATGCAAGACTTGAAGTAGCCCAAATCACAAGTGTTGAGCATGAGATCATCCATAAAAGAATTGGAGCATCACTTACTAGTGTGTGAGTGAAATGCAAGAGTCACACTAGGCCAAATCACAAGAACTGATCATAAGATCATCCATAGAAGAATCGAAGCATCTCCCACTAGTGTATAACTGAAATGTAAGAGTTACACTAGGCCAAATCACAAGAATTGAAAATGAAATCATCCATAGAAGAATCAGAGCATCTGCTACTAGCATGTGAGTGAAAAGCAAGATCTACACTAGGCTGTATCACAAGATTTGAGCAAGAGATTATCCATGGAAGAACTAACATATGAGTGAAAAGCAAGATCTATATCAGGTCAAATCACAAGAATTGAACATTAGATCATCCATAGAAGAATCGGAGCATCTCCTACAAGCATATGAGTGAAAAGCAAGATCTACAATACACCCAATCACAAGAATTGAACATGAGATCATCCATAGAAGAATCGGAGCATCTTTTACTAGCATGTAAGTGAAGAGGAAGATGTACATTAGGCTATATCACAAAGTTGGAGCAAGAGATCATCCTTGGAAGAATCAAAGCATCTCCTACTAGCATATGAGTGAAAAGCAAGATCTACACTTCGACCAAATCACAAAAATTGAACATGAGATCATCCATAGAAGAATCGGAGCATCTCCTACTAGTATATGCGTAAAAAACAAAATCTACATTAAGCCAAATCAGAAGAATTAAACATGAGATCATCCATTGAAGAAATGGAGCATCTCCCATAAGTGTGTGAGTGAAATGCAAGGGTTACACTGGGTTGTATCACAAGATTTGAGCAAGGGGTCATCCATGGAAGAATCGGAGCATCTCCTACTAGCATATGAGTGAAAACCAAGATCTAAACTAGGCTATATCACAAGATTTGAGCAAGAGATCATCCGTGAAAGAATCAGAGCATCTCCTACTAGTGTGTGACTAAAATGCATGAGTTACACTAGGCTATATCACAAGATTTCAGCAAGAGATCATCCATATAAGAATCGGAGCGTCTCCTACAAACATATGAGTAAAAAAGAAAGATTTACACTGTAGACCAAATCACAAGAATTGAACATGAGATGATACATAGAAGAATCAGGGTATCTCCTACTAGCATGTAAGCGAAAAGTTAGGTAGCATGGGTTGTCTGGTCGGATAATCTGGTCGGATTATCTGGCCGGATGATCGGGGGGTAGGATCATCTGGAAATTCGGATGATTAAAAAAAAGACCAAAGAAAAAAAAAAAA